TAAACCTAAACCTTAAAGTAATGTCAATATCCTCAAATGTGAAGACATGAGAAATCAATCAATCTATCTGTCTGTCTATCTATCATCTATCTATTTACCTATCTATCTTTATCTGGGTATCACTGAAGGGTTTGGTTGCATGATTAAAAACCTTCAGTCTAATAGAAAATAAAGTTACAGCTAGTTTCTTTAAAGACTAACTCTTTAGGGGGCTAACCCATAGAATAAAAACCCTTGAAACTACAAGAATTCTAAAAACATAAGGTGGACTTGAAAAAGCCACCATTAAAACTAAAATCAGGGAGTACTTTATACACAATTGAATTTCCCAAAGGAAACAATGACAAACTGGATAACAACAAAAACATAAAACCTACATAAAGGCACTGGAGAGTGGCCCAAAGCAGGCAGAGGCTGGCAGGGATTCAAGGACTCAGAGGGTTGGATGGGGCTTTCCAGTCTGCTGGGCATGGTGATTATAACCCAAGAAGAAGGCCATTCTTATTGGCTTGAGGTCTTATTATTATGTGGTGGAGTTCAGGGCTATAGCTGGAAAGAGAGGAGAAAAAGTCCTGGAAAGGAGAGAGCCAAAGTGAGGCAGCCCTAAAAGCCACATTAAATTTCCCTCAAATCCTTTGGTAACAGTTTTGAATTCTGCATACATGGAAGAGTCCAGAGGAAAGAAGCATCTAGAAGCTGATAGAGTTGAGCAGAAATTTCAGCTGCTATCTCTGTAGGAGATCAGAGCTTGGAGTGTAGACCCAAGTTAGAGGGGCTCAGCAAACACTTTAAACTTTCCACTGAAACTCTAGAAGTGCCATATATTAGGGGTAAAGAACAAAATAGAACCGTTCTAATAAAGCATAAAGCCAAGCCTCCTCACGTTCAAGGTGATCCACCACTAACTTAACCGCCTGCTAGAACAAAATCAAAGGAAGATAATAGAGTCTAGCATTTCTATGCCATAATATCAACAATAGTCAGCATATAGTTAAAATCTACTGGATCTGAAAGGAATAGGAAGATGTGATTCAGAGTTAAGAGAAAAATCACTTAATAGAAAGTGACCACAAAATGAGCCAGATGTTGGAATTAGTGGACAAGAAATTTAAAGGTGCTATTATAACTATGTTCAAGGACTTAAAGGAAAAAGAAGCAGATGATTGGAAACTATGTATGTTTGTTTTTATTGAAAAGTACAATATCTAAAATGAAGATTTCACTGGATAGGCTTAACAGGGATTGGAAATAGCAGAAGCAAAGGTGGTGAACTTAACAAAAAGGATCAACAGACATTGTAAAGATTGAAATAATGAACAGGGCCTCAGTAACTTATGGGATAATCATAATTTCCTCAAATTTGGTGAAAAACTTACAGGTCAACTTATAGGTCCTAGATATTAGCAAACCTTAAGGTGAATAAATACAGAGAGAACTACACCCAGGAAAACCATAGTTAAACTGCTGAAAAGCAATGGTAAAGAGAAAATCTTCCAAGAATCCAGAAAAAAAAAAGACACTACATAGAGAAAAATTTCCATAAGAATTACTGCTGACCTTCAATGAAGGCTAGAGTCAATGAATGGCATCTTTAAAGAGCTGAAAAACTGTCAACCAAGAATTCTACATCCAGTTAAACTAGTCTTCAAATACAAAAATGAAACAAAGTCATTTTCAGATAAGCAGAAGCTGAGATGTTGCCAGAAGACCCTTGGTGCAAGAAATGCTAAAGAAAGTTCTTCACAACAGGGACACTAGGCTGGGGAAGGTAGGAGGGGATCAATGGGGAAAAAGGGGGACATCTGTAATATTTTCAACAATAAAAAAAAAGGAAAGTTCTTCAGTCTGAAGGGAAATGACTCAGTTGGAAAGCTGGCTCTTTGTGGGACAGGGGGAGGGGAGAAAGTCCTAGACATGGTAAAACTGAGTAAATACATACACTATATAAAGTTTTCTCATTTCAGTAAAAGACAGCAGATTGTTTAAAGTAAAATTGATAAGATTGTGTTGTGGGTTTTATAATGTATGTATATATATAAAATATATCAAAATTGTAGCACAAAGGAGGGAGATAAAATGGAATTACATTGTTGCAAGTTTTTTACATTTTGAGAGCTCCTTTGGAAGTTCTAGCAGGGGAGCGCAGCTACTCCTATACTCTTGACTGAAGACCGTTCCTCTTTGGGGGGAAGGTAGGCCTCTTCACAGAGGGCAAGCGCACAGCTTCGGGAGGGAGGCACATGGATAGGTGAGGGAGGACGGGGACACCCGCCTAGCCAGCCAGATCAGCCCAATCAACCGTGGTGATCAATGAGGTGACAGACGTCGCAGCCAGATCGCCCTCACATCCAGTTTTTTACATTTTGAACGAAGTGGCACAATGTTAACTCTAAGCCCATGGTAAATTAAAGATGCATATTATAAGCATTAGAGATAAAAAGATAAAAGCAGAATACTAAAAAATATTCAATTAACATGAAGGCAGGAGAGACAGGAATGAGAAACAATACAAATAGAAAACAGAGGGATACCAGCAACAATATGAAGCTCAAAAACCTTGAGTTAAGCCGAAAACAACCAGAGGTGATAGCAGAGCAGTGGTTGTGTATAAGGGGTGGGGTTCCCCTAGGAAGAGAAAGGCGAGACCTTTCTGGAGTAATGGAAATGTATACCTTGATCGAGGTTCTGGATTAACTGGGAGTATACCTTTATCAAGATTCATAAAATCCCCCAGCCGGTGTGGCTAAGTGGTTGAGCATGGACCATGCACCAAGAGGTTGCCCTTCAGTCCCAGGTCAGGGCACTTGCCCAGGCTGTGGGCCCAATTCCCAGTAAGGGGCATGCAGGAGGCGGCCAATCAACGTTCTCTCTCACTCTTCCTCTCCCTTTCTCTCTCTCTCTCTCAAAAAAATTGAGCCCTGGCCAGTTTGGCTCAGTGGTTGGAGCATGAACCTGCGGACCTGAGAGTCCCGGGTTCGGTTCCTGCTAGGGGCACGTACCAAAAAATAAAAAATAAAAATAAATTGAAAAAAGAAAAAAAATAATTAAGATTCATAAAATTGTACCTTTAAAATTTGTGCATGTCTCTGTAAATTTTACATCAATTTTTTAAAAGCCTCAAATCAAACTCTCCGGGCTTCCGATTGTAAACGTTGACCAACAGAGGGCGCTCCGAGCTCACCAAACACGCTTTAGGGACTCGGTTACTTGATGAAGCAAATCAGACAAGCTCTGGTCTCTGTCTCCAAGGTGTATCAGGCATCTCCCCAGTAGCTCCCCCTACCCAACACCCCACCTTCCCCACTCAGGGCACGTCCATTTCACCTGTCCACCCGCCGCTGTTCCTCTGATGAGCAGCGCATAGCTAATGGCGATGCTGTTTCCCGCGGCATCTCCCCGGAGTACAGGTGCGGCTGGGATCCGGCGTGGGCTGCCTGGAGGTGTACCTGCCCCCTGCCGCCCCCCAAGTCCTCTCTTGATATGATCGCTTTTAAATTGGAAGTAGGAACGTAACGGAAACTTCCACACGGTTCTCGACATCTTCATTGTGACCTCCTTACCTTGCTTTGGTGACTGTGAAATATTCCCATGCTAGGGCTGCGGAGGGCGGGAGGGTGGGTGGATGGCGGCGCGAGGGAGTCACAGGAGGCATTTTCCCCGAGGAAGTCAGGGTGTGTGTGGGCATTGCCCCGGGGTCCCAGCACCCCAGAGTATTGTCTTCCTGCCCCTCCATATCACACAACGAAGCTAGCGACGGAGACAAACGCCCCCTGCGCCCTCGCCCACCCCAGGCCGGTCTCTGCGGGCGCCGGGATGCCATTACACCTCACGTGATCCCCGGCCTGGGCCGGTCCTTGCAGAGGCGTCTCGCGGGGTGTTAATTAAAGGTCACAACAAAACAGACCTGCCGGATCACTGGAAGAAATGTACTCCCGGGAAATGAAAAATGACACCCCGAGCAGCCACGTGTGGAGCCCGGCGTAGGCCGGCTTCCTGCGCTCCTGGGCGCTGCGCCTGGGGTGGGGGTGGGGGGTGGGGGTCCGCGAGGGGCGATGACTGGTGCTCCCGGGACGCGGTGGGTCCACGGCGCGGGAAGACAAGGAAGGAGGGTTGCTGAGGGGCCGGGCCGGGGCAAGGCGAGGCCAAGGCCAGTTCGCACGCCCCCTCCCCCGGCCCGCGCCGTCTCGCTGCGCGTGTGTAGTGCGGCGAATCCCTCAGTTTCCCCTTGCCCGGACCTGGCCTCTTCATCCCGGGCTCCCCTGTCCCAGCGATGGGCGGCCGGGCACCTCGCAGATAGGGGCTAGGCGGTGGGGACCCCGGTCCTCCGGCTGTGGTTGGGAGGGGGGCTGTGGTCGGCGGGGGGTCGGCAGGGCCATTCCAGAAGAGGTTTGCAGGGCAGGTCTGGGAGAACAAAGGGCGGGGGGGAGGACCCGGCATGTTTGCGGACTTGTTTGTGACTCAGTCCCTTTTACCCGGCATTTCAAAGGCAGAATTGCAAGCCTCGCCAGGAAGAGAAAGAACTTGGGGGCGGGGGAGGCGCGGGCGCATTTCTGTGCGGCCCCGCTGGCTCGGCGCGGCCCCTGGGCTCCAGGCGCGCGCAGCGGTGTTTCATTAAAGCCCTGGACGCGGGCCACTCACCAGGAACTTCCCCGCACGGAGCGAGATTTACGATCCCCCATCCCCCAGCCGGCTCTCGGCCTCTCAATGTCAGGCAGGAGCGCCGCAACCTAAAATGGAGCCCGGCCGGCGCGGCGGCGGCAGCCAGGCGGCAGGCTCCCGGGCGGCGGGGCCGCGGGTCCCCAAGCTCCGCGCTGCGCCCGGGCGCACACGCGCGCCCTGACCGCGGACGGCGCCCGGCCCCGCCGAGCCGCCCCTTTCCCAGCCCTCGCGCAACTGTCAGGCAGTACGTACGGGCCGGCGGATATTGGCTCCGCGACACGCCGAGGCTCCACCCCGAGTCTGGATCTTTATATTTTGGGAGAATTTCTTTGAACTCAGTTACCACGCTGCGGGAAGGAGACTAGTTCCCACAGCCGGCTCGCCGGCGGGGGGCAAGGCGAGGGCTCGCCCACCTTCTCTGCGGCGGCCACGTGCCCTGATTGTAAGCCTCCTTTCCCTGGTGGAGGAACACGGACTTACTTGGCTGAGGGAAATGCCAATTATCTGGATGTGACCGTGGAAAGAGAACGTGTGACTGGAGGAGGCAGAAGAGGATGAGGAAAAGCAGTATTTGAAGAAAGGATAAACCACCCACTCCAACCCTCTCTGCAAATTGGTGCTATTACCTCTGGGGCCCATTTGCTTTCATTCCCCCTCCCCCCAATTAAGAAACCTTGACTTGAGGGCCAAAAGACAGCCCCCTGCAACTGGGAGACCCTTCTGGGTTGGAAGACCTTGTGGATGTAGCGCTGGTGGAACATTAAGACACTCTCTTCTGAAAAAGCCACCATGAATTCGGTAGCTGGGAATAAAGAGAGGCTTGCGGTCTCCACCAGGGGCAAGAAATACGGGGTAAGTTGTGACGGGTACAATGCGGAGACGCGTCTCTAGACCCACGTCGGCCCGGGTCTCCCCTTCCCGGGAACCGTGCGGCGCGGCTGGGCGGCTCCGAGCTCTCTCCCGCTGCAGAGGCGCCGCGGAGGGGTGTGCGTGCGCCGAGGCCGGTCTGCCCGCGCGGCTGCCCACACACTCGCCTTGTCCTGGGAATTTTTTCAGTCCTCTCGTGCCTCCCTTTCCCCGCACCCCTAACTTTTGCAGCATTCCTGCACTTAAAGGGAGAGTTATGCCGAACGGGAGGATTTTCCATGAATTATTGCTGTTCCTTGGGATCATTTACCCGTACCTTCAGGATCCAGAGGGCTGTACCCCGAATGAATGAATAAAAATCCAGAAGCCACCGTTCCCTCCCCCTCCCCGTCCACCCCGGGATAGCGGCTTCCAGGATCTTGAACCTGGGCTCTTGCTGGGATGGGTGTCGCTTTCAAAAGCGCGGGGCTCTGAATCTATGGGTTCTCCTTGCAGAAACCATTGAGACCCCCGGAGCGAGCCATCTCCTTCTCCGCGGGCGTCGGGGAACCGCGCAGGGCGGGGGGGCGGGCACCCGGGCGTTGGGGGCTCACTTAAGGACAATTAACCCGGCAGAGTTGGCCGCAGGGCTCGGAGTGGTCCCGAACGCGCGCCGTTGGCGTCCGGCCGGGCCCTTGGTGGCGCGCAGATGCCGGGAAGGGTGCCCCTGACACTGCTGTGTCTTCTCCCGCAGGTGAATGAGGTCTGCTCGCCCACCAAGCCCGCGGCACCCTTCTCCCCGGAGAGCTGGTACCGGAAAGCGTACGAAGAGTCGCGCGCCGGCAGCCGGCCCACCCCGGAGGGCGCAGGCTCGGCGCTCGGCTCATCGGGGACCCCGTCCCCTGGCTCCGGCACTTCGTCCCCGAGCTCCTTCACGGGCTCCCCGGGCCCCGCCTCCCCAGGCATTGGCACCAGCTCGCCAGGCTCCCTGGGCGGCTCTCCGGGCTTCGGCACTGGCTCCCCGGGCTCGGGCAGTGGTGGCGGCTCCTCCCCCGGCTCGGACCGCGGCGTCTGGTGCGAGAACTGCAACGCCCGCCTGGTGGAGCTGAAGAGGCAGGCGTTGAGGCTGCTGCTCCCGGGGCCCTTCCCCGGCAAGGTGAGCGCCGCGGGGGTGGGTGGCCGCGCGGCGCTGGCCGGGAGCGCGGGCGGGCCTCAGGGCACCCACCGCCCCCAGCCCGTGGCAGCTGCCCCTCCTGCAGCCACGACGCGCCTCGCTGCGGCCGGAGGAGCCTTGGCGGTGCTGGGGGCTGCTCCGCACCCGAGGGGACGCTAGCACGGCTGGGGCAGCTTCGAGCCGGGGGTAGGGGGCGACCTCGAGCTTCTCCCTCTCCAGGACATGGTGGGGCGCAGAGCGTGGGGGCCTTCCACGGGTTCAGGCCTCACTGCCCACGGGGGATGCCCCAGGTTACTTGTCTTGCTGACCTCCACGCCGTGGAGTCCCTTTCGGTGATCTCGGCCCCTGCGGGGCTGTTCTGTTGGACCTGCGCAGTGCTGAGACCCCCTGCCCGCGCATCAGCACACCTTTGCTGGGTGGCAGGCCGGGCACACGCTGAGGCCAGCTCCTGGGTCTTTCATTTCTGCCCCGCACCAGGCCCGCTGGCCCGCTCATTAGATTTTTCTCCCCACCCCACCCACGATCATTTACAGAAATGTCAGTGGGAGAAGTAAAAGCAAGCAGAGTTGGCGTTTCTCATCCTTCCCAGGATCACACAAACAGAAACACCTAGTGGAAACCCATCTTTCCCCCCTGACATTCTGTCTGTGTGAAGAAGATGAGGGGTGGCCTGCTCCAGCACCAAGCACACTGGGTTCTCCATGGCAACCCTGTCGGCTGTGGGCCGGCCGGGTTCGTGCCAGGCGCCCCCAGAGTGGAACACAATGCGATTCTATTTGCGCTGTTGGGTCCAAGTGCTATCAAATGATAATATTTACTCTTGCACTTCAAAGAGTTTTTATCAGTGGTTAAAAATATCAAGAACACAGAGTGGATTGCTCTGAGATTTCTGATAGGGTTTGTTCAATGGCACTTGCTAATTTATATTTCTGTGACTTGAAATACTGTGATTTTGAGTAGTGGACTTGAATAACTGCATCTGCTTACCCTATCTGCTTATTCAAATACATGCACATGGATGTTGTGCGATGCAAGGGTTAAATTAAACAAATATCCACAGACTAGTAACACTCTAAGTGTGGAAAATTACCACTGAGAGAATTGGTTTTATGAATCCTGAATTTATCTCAGGAATAATTAACTTGTGGATTGTTGTCAGTATGCCATTTTGGTAGTCGGATAATAAAACCGTCAGGACACCCCAAGAATAAATCTCAGGGATTCTAAGAGCTTCTTTCATGCTTTCAATTTTACACCATTTCTTCACTCACAGATTTATTTGCTCTTTTGGTCGTTGATCAATATCCTTGGATTTCCTAGGGCATTCAAGGCACTGTGTTAAGTGCAACAATGAAATAACAGGTATCTATGGTCCTTGTCCATATGGAGCTTATATTCTAATGGAGGATACAGTCACCACAAAATGCACAACTCATGACTTATTCGTCTACCAAGAAGAGTGTAGGATGCTGTTAAATTATATAACCAGACTAGATCATGTGGTAAATTTGGGAGACCCTTGGCTCTTAAAGATTTGACATCTGATATTTGGAAAGCCTAATAATTTGCGGCCTACCAGATCATTCTAGAACATTCTTGAGGACCTGTTCTTACAATAGCTTCTTGTTTGAGTGCTCTTGGGTGCAAAGGTGAACCAAAATAGATCCTTCGTACAAAAATGGGGGAAGCAAAGGAAATCTTTAGGAAGAAGAACAAATGTTGAAGCCTAAATCCACCCATCATGCTTTGTGGGGTCATGTGACAAAGTAGATTTTTGGTTTTGTTGAAGCAGCCTGGGAATTCATTCAGTGTTACAGAAGGCAGCTCAGCATGTTGGCCCATTTTAGTTAGGTGATGCTGGGAAACTGATCATGTGGTCAGAGCGAAGGCTCCAGAAGGAGCGTTCGATCCGCTACACCTCAGTGCTCCGCACCCCGGGACAGTGCACAGGATCAAGCACACGCAGGAATGTCACACAGTACCTCAGCTACCTGGAGTTTTATACGTGACATAGCGCAATGTAGCATGACCTTTGGTAGAGGAGAGTGCACAAGACTTAATGAGACCCAATGGTGATTCAGATTACCTTATTGTTAGTAACAAGAAATGGGGCCTCAATTTTAACTAAAATATTCTGCATGTCTCTGGAATAACACTTTGATTTTTTTTACCTTTTAAAGCACTGGTACCCTCAGATTAGGTACGATTTTCATTACACCTTTAAAGTTTGCAACATTTTAATCAAATAAACGCTGTGTTCTCTTGAGCACCATGGATGGAGGCCCATGTCATTCAAAGACAAGGCCTTTCTTCTTCCCAGAGCTGGATTTATGAGCAAACTGTGGACCCCTGTAACCCTCAGGCACAGAAGGAGTTAAGTTTCATTAGAACAAGGGATGTCATTGTGACTCCAGCATGTAGTTTGCCTTAGAGAGTAAGAGTCTGGAAGATAAAGACATGTTTTGGAGGGGTAATTAGCAAAAATCATCTTTGTAATTCGCTTAAGATGCTTAACTCTATTTGGGGAATATTTTCTTAACTAGAGTATTACATTCTCCTAGGTGGTATTAACAGTCTCCTAGGCAGGCACTTAAGAGTCAAAGTCAGACTAGCATCTCCAGGAACCTTATTAGTTTAGGATGATTTGGTTTTAGGTCTTTCTCCACCACTGATTTATTTTGTGACATTGAGTAAATCAATTTTCCTCTGTATTTTTAACTTTCCCACTGATGCATTAAAGAAAAAAATGATTCAAACTGTTAGAATGTCATGAAAATTGTTTTAGATAAGGTTTCAAAAGTGCTCCCATTCTTCAGAGATGGACGTGAGGGTCAGTGATTATTAATTAGACAAGATTCTGGTCGATTTATATTTTACATAATGTAGGGTTTTATTTACAAAACAATATCTGCTTTCACTTTCTAATTTCATCAGTGCATTTCCCAAATATTATGTTGTCATATGCGTTCTTGGGCTGTGCCTGTTGGTAGGTGGCAAATCCTGTTAAATCCCCCCCCCCCCCCCCCCCCCGTTGTTGTTGTTAATCCTCACCTGAGGGTATCTTTCCATTGAATTTTAGATAGAGTGGGAGGGAGGGAGGGAGAGAAACATCGATGTCACATTGATTGGTTGTCTCCTGAAGGAACCCCACCAGGGACATGGAACCTGCAACCGAGGTATGTGCCCTTGACCAGGAATCAAACCCTCGACCCTTCGGTCCACTGGCTTCTCTAACCGCTGAGCCAAACCAGCCAGAGCAAGTCCCCCACTTCTGTCTCTGGGACAGTTGGTTAAGAAGGTGAGGTGATGCGCTGGTGAGCCCATGCAGGTATGTCCCAGGAGTTAGGCGGTGACTCTGGTGCCTGCAGAGTGACCGCCCAGTTCTGAGCATTCTCAGTAGCCAAGTGACCACTTCGTGGATGGGGATAGTAACTGAGGCAGCAAGTGGAAGGAGACGGTTTGGGTGGAGCTCAGAGCCAAGGAGGTTGCTAATGGATCTGGTGGTGTGCATTATTGAGTTTGAGGGTTCTGGCAAGCCATAGAGAGTAGAGGCAGATTTAGGAATACAACAGACTCTGGAATGTAGAAAGTGACAACTGTGAGCTCACATAACCCTTAATGATGTCCTGGATCTAGTCTTCACACAGCAACTTACCTGGCTGAGTAAAGATTTGTGCCTGGTGGCCGACTGTAAAACACTCGGATTGATTTTTATTACCTCAGTCAGTAAAAAAGTACTTACTGGGGTTATACCGTTTCTTTTCTAGGGCTGGTAAGTGGAAGTGGTGAGAAAAAAAACGAAGGAATGTGGGTTTGTAAAGTGTTGGGATTTTAAGTAAAACAGTCCTTTTACCCATTGCACTGTTTCAATGTGTAAATATAAAACCAATTTATATCCACTGGCAAGAGTATCTTTCCTGTTTCATACACAGTCGAGGCACCAAGCCAGAAACGGGGGCCAAGGACTGAATCTCCCGTTCTGGGCTACCCTGGATCGTTCTGATATCTGTAACAGGACTTTGGAGTTGACGTGTAAGCCCCGCGAAACATCAGCCCAAAGGAATTCCCTGGAGTAAGCAGAAATGTTCCAGTTTGGCAGAAGGTTATCAGACATCTGTTCATTTCCATATCAATAAAAGAAAATCTTCTTTTATGTAAAAAAAAAAAAAAAAAGTCCAGAAAGACATTCCTATCTGATTTGTTCTCAGTCACATATTCTGGGTTCATTTATGCCCCAGAAATATCAGGAAGATTAGCCAGACATACTGAGAAGGGTGGCCAGGAGTCACAGAGATGAAAGAAAGGAATGTGTCATAGGGGTTTAAAAACACCAAACGTAGACTCTAAATAGCCAGAGCCCAAGTAAGTCTAGACTTGGAGATTTCATATATATATTTGTATTTTCCCCACTCCAAAAGAGGGGTATGAAAAAATAACTCTATTTAAAAGGTCCCCTAGAAGCCATTGTAAGACACACTATAAATAGATAAAATATACTGCATTTTAAATACTTATTAATTACGAGAAAATCCCGTCTGAAATCTAAGAACACATGACTATTTTCAGAAAGCTTTGTTTGAATCTTTTCCATTTCAGAAGTATTTGAGATAAAGGAACAGCTAATAGATAATATCAGTAATGGAAAAGTCCTGTAGCATTTATCATTGAAAAAAATTTCTGAAACATTTTAGGGATTATAAAAACATTCCCAGCAGAGACACGTGAACAGTAATCTCTTCTTTAAGGCTTAGCAAGCTACGGAATGATGGCATTGCATTCTACCAGACTTTTAATTGTGAACCAACAGGGTCAATTTTTATAGTGACTTAATTCACTTTGTAAAAATCCCTGGCCTGTAGTAATTTCTTTCACACCCACTGCAGATAGGATTATTGCATTAGAAATGTGATTTTTAAATGGCTGAGGCTAGTAATTTGTCAGCATTTGGAAGGATTAAGTCAATAAAATTTAGGCAACATTAT